AAACAATTGTCAAGAACAGATATGGAAGGTATTACACTAACCACTACTACTACTACTGCTGTTGAAAATACGAAATCTTGAATAAAGTGAAAATATATTACAATAAAATCAGAAACATTTATCTTTTCGATCCTACAGATAGGTCTTATTAACAAAATCGCTTCTTAAACTTATTTTCTCAAAATGAAATAAGTTAGGTTTTGAAGGCCAGATTCTTTACAGTAGGTGTCTTCGAATTGTTAGAGAAAACTTTCAACAATAAATAAACAGTACACAATATATGAAAACAAGTAAAACGTATATATACAAATGTTCGTTACACTGTTGGTTATCACAATTGTATCCAGAGCTTTCAATAATTCTTTTTCTCGTCATAGTCCACGCAGACTGGTTCAGTTACTTTATAACACATTTTATTCTACTCTAGTCCGTTATTGCAATACAGTCTATGATAATTTCACTTTACAATCGCCGATATGTGCTATTTATGGCTAAACTCACAAACACATAGTTTAGATCTATTTGATTATATATCTCACTAACTTACTTGAATTACATTTTGGATGCGTGTTTATAAATAGCCCGACTGAGGCCTAAAACTTTCCACACACTACGAGATTTTATGATGTGATAATACTCGAGAAACACTTAGAAGGTTCTAATAACATGACGCAATAATAAAACAATCGCCAATTTATGCAATCAAGCTACACAACTATCACTTCTAAAAATAACTACATTTAACACTCGCGCTGTACTTAAATTAAAATATTTATGTATATCTAACACTATCCATGTAAGATAATCCTTCCATCCCAGAATCATCCTAGTACCCCTCTTTTGAATCCTTTCCAATACCATTGCAATATTAAGATGATTTGTATAAAGAAACGATTAGCTCTTTTTGACTTGTAATCAATATGTCTATAAAAACAACCCTAAATTTCTAGTAGCTTTTTTTATAACAACAGAGCAGTGCTTCGAAAACATGATTTATTTACTAATACACTAAGATCCTTTTATGCAATCAAGTTAAATTAATTATGCTATCGAAATAAATATAAATCTTTAGTATTGCTGAAAATAAAATATAAAACTAAAATCGTATAAGAATGTTATCTTTAAAATGTGTTCTACTTTAACACATTTCACGTGATCACTTCGAAGCGTGTCATAATTTTATACGCCTCTATCATGGATTTACAGTGATTAGATGATCACTAGCGGTCACTAATCTGGTTTGTTTTTGTTGAATTTCGCACAAAGGTACTAGAAGGCTAACAGCGATAGTCGTCCCTAATTCTGAAGTAATAGACAAGAGGGAATGCAGCTAATCAACGCCACCCACCACCAACTTTTGGGCTGCTCTTTACCAAAGAAGAGTAGGATTGACTGTCACATTATAACACTCCCACGGCTGAGAGGGCAAGAATGTTAGGTGATGGGAATCGATCCTGTAACCCGCAGATTGCAAGTCGAGTGCCCTTATTACTAGATCATGCCAGGAACACTAAACTGGGAATGGGCTTTATTTTTTCTTCTTCATCCCATACTTCCAGACCCTTTCAGGCGTCAGGGGGTCGCCTTCTTTTATCTAGCCAAGCTAGGTTGCATCAACCCAGCAGATGCTGTCGAGCTACAGGGGTGAACTGGTGGTTCCAGTAACCCGAACTCATACAATTTGTTAGTGTGCATCAGAAAGATGGTTTTTATAGTTTGTTTGTTACTAATCATAAAGCTACACAATGAGCTATCTGTGCTTAGTTCACTCCAGATATCAAGCCCGATTTTTATCGTTATAAGCCCTCAAACTTACTCCTGAGCCATTGGAGGGGGAGTGTCTAGAAAGAAAACGATCATAGTAGATGATGTTATTGGTGCATCAAGTGTTACAGATAAAATTGTGAATTCTAACATGTTGGATAACATTATGACAGAGCGTCTTCTTTAGCGTTCCTCCTGTGTAGCTTTGTTCTAACGTGTTGGATAATATTATGACAGCGAATAGTCCTTTAGCGTTCCTCCTGTGTAGCTTTGTTATAACATGTTGGATAATATTATGACAGCGAATATTTCTTTAGTGTTCCTCCTGAGTAGCTTAGTTATAACATGTTGGATAATATTATGACAGAGAATATTCCTTTAGTGTTCCTCCTGTGTAGCTTTGTTCTAACGTGTTGGATAACATTATGACAGAGCATCTTCCTTTAGTGTTCCTCCTGTGTAGCTTTGTTATAACATGTTGGATAACATTATGGCAGAGCATATTCCTTTAGTGTTCTTCCTGTGTAGCTTTGTTCTAACATGTTGGATAACATTATGACAGAGCATCTTCCTTTAGTGTTCCTCCTGTGTAGCTTTGTTCTAACATGTTGGATAACATTATGACAGCGAATATTTCTTTAGTGTTCTTCCTGTGGAACTTTGTTCTAACATGTTGGATAACATTCTGACAGAGCATCTTCCTTTAGTGTTCCTCCTGTGGAGCTTTGTTCTAACATGTTGGATAACATTATGACAGAGCATATTCCTTTAGTGTTCTTCCTGTGTAGCTTTGTTATAACATGTTGGATAACATTATGGCAGAGCATCTTCCTTTAGTGTTCCTCCTGTGTAGCTTTATTATAACATGTTGGATAACATTATGACACCGAATATTCCTTTAGTGTCCCTCTTGTGTAGCTTTGTTCTTTACAACAAAAAATAAACAAAACGTTTAGCGTATTTTACAACTTTCATATGATAATAACGAAGAAATATAAATTTCGAAATTGTTTCAAATCTAAAAACAATCTTTCAGTTTTACTGACCAAGGAAAATTACTGGTAAGGAGCAGAAACGTCATTTCAAAAAAGGCTGTGGAGAGGGGAACCGTCATCCTTCGCAAAATGAAGTCTCTGGTAACGAGAGTGCTAAATTTAAAAGCTACCATTTCAAAATCGTTTAATTTTAAGTAGAATTATTTCACATTTTAAAAAAAGGTGGAAAGGGTGGGGGATGGAGGCGTGAGAGAATATAATAAAAAATAACTTGGTAGAAGCTGGGGCGCGTGTTCAGACACACACAAGCTGATTGGCTGCCTCAGGGGAGAGGTTTTGTCTTTTGAATTTCGTGCAAAGCTACACGAGGGCTATCTATGCTAGCCGTCCCTAATTTAGCAGGGACTAGAGGGAAGGCAGCTAGTCATCACCACCCACCGCCAACTCTTGGGCTACTTTTTTACCAACGAATAGTGGGATTGACCGTCACATTATAATGCCCCCACGGCTGAAAGGGCGAGCATGTTGGTGTGACAGGGATTCGAACCCGCGACCCACAGATTGCGAGTCAAGTGCCCTAACCACCTGGCCATGCCGGGGCCCAGGGGAGAGGTAGAGACGAAGACGGAATTGTTAATTTAATTTGCCTAACGCTGTGTTTACAGTTATCAGTGATGAAAAGCTTTTTATTAATCAGTTTCTCTTTATAAGTAAGACATTAAATCTGCTATTCTACTCTTCTCAACTTTACAGTTTTCCTTTATATACTGATGCTCATTTCAAAAGAAAAATAGTGATTAACTAGCTCTTCTCTTGCTTAAAAAGAGACTACAGAAAAACTATAATAACCACAAATTGTTTACTCACCTTTCTTAATCACATATTAAAGAGGAAATTCTCTTTGTTCTACATTTATGAAAATAACAAGAATAGATTCAACTTGTAGTTACTACGTAAAACTGAAAACAAACCTGACACCATTTATGTCTCCACAACTACCCAAGTGACAGAATAAACAAACTGCTCCAAGGTATTAACACATCCTGTTACAAAATATGAACAGTTAGTTATTTGAATAATAAATATATACATATGTGGAAAATAAAAAATCTTGGCCTGAAAGACAGAACATTAGTTAATAGAGGTTAAAAAATTAAAAGTGATTTTCCCCAGATAATCATTAAAAAGGCTTTTGATATAAACAATGTCAATAAATATTATTTATTAAAAAAAACATGCATATACTTAAGTAAAAGTTCCAGATACAATGTATGTTGTAGTTATTCAACCATTTTCAAACAAATTTAGTGATGGATGTTATTCATTCATTTTCTGTAAGCTACTCCTAAAATTGTGAAATTGAAGTCATGAAATCTTACTTAAAGAACAAATTTAGACATAACGTGATTTCTTGTAAATCACATTCCATATAAATAAGTATATAAACAGTAGCATAATATTTTACTTCCTGGCATTATTTCTTAAACTAATTTTTAGCTGATACCACCACCTCCTATATACTTCCATTGATAGATATTATAACTATCACAATCATTTGTTACAATAATTAGAATATTTTGTTTTCTTTTATAGCCCACACAGAAGTTAAGGTATTTTTTTAAACTTGTGATTTCAAAATAAAGCATTTAAATTTTTTTTTCTGTGATGTTTACTACAATAACTGTCATTTTACTCATATTATCTAAAAATTCTAATTCTTAATGATGTTTAATATGTGGCATTTGTTTGTTTTTCTTACTAAGCACAAAACTGCATAATGGGCTATCAATGCTATCCCCACTGCAAGTATCATAACCCGATTTTTAGCATTATAAGCCCTCAGACTTACCTCTGAGTCACCAGGAGAGCACATGGTATCTGTAATAGTCATTTTGTATATAACAAAAAAAAAAGCTGTGTAAGAATTTAAATGTTTGATTGATTAAATTCTTTTGAAAAAGAAAATATTATACGGAGACCAAACATTACCATAGAAGGAAATATAATTTACTCTCACGATACTACACACATGTGGTATGCCACAAAATTTAAATTCATAATAATATTTGATCAAAATTGAAAATTGAGGCAGATCACATTAGAAATTTTAGTGTTTATTTTACAAAAATGTTATTACAAAAACAGACAGAAAAAATGAAGTAATGATTATGGGGGGGGGGGGACAATTAAACATTCTGTGTTCAATCATTTTTGTCTTCTAAATGAAGAACTACTATGATGTTCAGCTGAATATTAATGTGGCATTTTTATTTTATACATTTACATGCAAATCTTTAGGAAAAAATCCAAGTCAGACAATATCAAATTTTACACAAACAAATTACATGAGCATACAGTCATAATACAGATCTATCCAGAAAATAAGTAACTATTTTCAACTGGGAGACAACAACTTTACCAAACTCAACCACAGTGAACAAAGAAAGAAAACATTTTATTTTCTATTAAAGGTGAAGTCTGCAATTGTTTTTTATTCCTTCCTATTGTATGACATAAGCTACCAGTCTCTCAATCTTAATACTTAGAGGAAATAATCTGGAGTTCGACGTGTCACATGAGGTTCACCTCGCCGTGGTGCAGGATCAAACTGGAGGCTGAAAAGAAAGATTATTATGAGATATGTAAAAATATACATGTTTTTCAGAGAAAACACAAATATCTCAAGTATGTGGTTCAATTTAGAATCCGTTCAGAATTTTATATCATCATTACCATGTTTTAATTATCTGATTTTCAAATAATAGTAGAAACCAGTGTTCCCTCTAAGCTGTGTAGCCGCATAACAACCAATCAAGTGATGCGCACTTCATTATTCCAGACGTGCACATCCTCAGTAATGATAAGGAAGCTTAACACATTGATAGCCTTAATGACCCTGGCAGTTGATAGGCCTAAAGCCCAAATAACCAATTGGCAGCATTGCAAAGTTGCCTAATGATCCAATAGGGTCGATGGTCTAAAAATATCCCCCACTCCCAAAAAAAATGGTAGCACACATCCACACATTGTTCTGATACTGGTGCACATGAGAAAAATTCATTCTGCACATGGATTGAAAAAATTAGAGGGAACATTGGTAGAGACACAAGCACATGTACTGACCTCAAGTTAATTGCCTTTTTAGGAGGTATTCAACAACTTCAAACCTAGCAAGATGTCATTCATTTAGGGCCAATTATTTCTAAATCTAAAAGCTAAATGGAAACAAAAATGTGTCTTACAGAACTACGTTATCTAAATTTTCCCAAAAGTTCAATTAATTTAGTTCTTAGTGATAACATTTTTTTTTATCACTAGGACATATTTCAAAATATTCTTATTTTAGTCATTTATTTCAGATGTGCTTTATGTAACATTTTTTTAAAATCATATTTTACAGTGACATATTTCTCAAAAAATAAGAGCTTTGATGTTTTTGTACTGACACAGAACCACGAAACATAATAGATCTCAAGCTTTTAAGAATTAAACAATAACAAATGGAAAGATTCTGTGCAAACTCAATAGAATATTACATAGTACTGCATAGAATTTATTACCTGTAAACATGTGGTCAGTGTTTACATAGTAATGTATCACAGCAAAACACCTACTACTGAGAAACAACACTACTTAGCTGTATCCCTAATACTGTAATTGGATCTACACTATCTAAACATATTATCACTTCTTCATTCAAATAAATACAAGGAAAGCTATAAATTGCTTTCCCGAAATTACCAAGGAAAGTAAATTGATCTCCTCAGAACAAAAATCAAAACAAAAACAAAAGAAATAACACAAGGAGTAAAAAAAACTGAAATTCTAACACTTGTATATATTGTGGCTGTTCAGGAACTGTTTGTGTGCTGCAAATATAATTTAAAAAATCATTTACAAGTCATTTAACAGATTTGGAGTCTTTGTATTTTGTCATAATGATATGCATACATAAACCTCAAGATGAATTTGTTTTGATTGTACAGTCGACATCCAAAATAACATCCCATTCTCCCATAGCACACTATCCAAGCTTTCAAGATTTGACTGTACTCACATAAAAATCTTACAATTTTATAGCATACAAATGTAGCTATTACTCCATATTTTAATGATACACAAGTTAAGTTCTTAATATTGTAAGGCAATGAAAAAAAAATCCTTAACTTCCCCTAATGTGAAAATTGTGACATTTTCTATCTAAGCATCCCCTCTTCTCTAATTTATT